TTGTGTGGGGGGAGGTTGGGATGAGTGGTGCAGAAAAACGAAAAAATAGAAATTTAAAATTGTAAAAAAAAAATTAAGGTAAAAAAAATAATTTTTTGGAGAGGGGGTGGGGTGGGTTAGTGAGGGTGGGGAATGTTGAGAAGGAGTTTTGGAAAATGTTTTCCCTTCTATTGATAAGGAAAACATTTTTCCTCCAATTGGAGGAAAATAAGTTCATAAGGAAAATGTTTTCCAAAACATTTAAGTCAACCAAATATGAGAAAATTGGAAAATATTTTTCGAAAAATATTTTTCTTCATACGAAACACACCCTATATTTTACCAATTTTACCATTAATGAGAAGGTTTTATAACCACACAAATGTCATGGCCCCATAAAACTTTTACCCCTTAAACTTTTAAGACCACACGTTTTAAAAGTCTCTATTTTTTCTTTTAAACTCCGTGCCAAGTCAAATTACCCCATCTAAATTGAAATAGAGGGAGTAGAAAATTCCTACTCTGTTTGTCCCTATTTATATCTCATACTACTTGTAGTTTGTCCCAAGAAGAATGTCATATTTATTAGAAATAATTTAACTTTAAAAATTTTAATTTACTCTTAATGAATACACTTACACAATTATTTATAATTTGTTTTAGACCATAAATTTCAAATATCTTTTTTCTCATAATTTCATGTCGAGTCAAATACCACGGCATAAATTAAGACGGGGAAGTACCAGTAAATCATCAACTTTAATTAATGTGAAAAGTATATGAAAAAGGAACAGAATGTGGGGTCCACTGTGCTTGGCTCCCTACTCCCCACCTTCCATCGCAGAAACAACAGACTCTTGACTCTTTCTGCCTCAACTGGCCTCTAGTAGAATTTTTGTGTTAGTTTCCTCTTTTTCACATCCATTTTCAAATAGGTAGTGATGAAAGCTTCCCATCATATCATTTTTCTTATTATTCTAATAATCATATAATATATGCGACTAAAGAGGCTTGCATTCTAAGTGACTTGCAGCCGAAGGATCTTAATAACAAAGAAGAGTAACCCTCTTTTCTTCCTTTCTTCCTTCTCATGACCAATTCTCTATATAAGACCCTTTCTACAAGCAAATAAGCTAGCTAGTAAAGAAAAGTCTGATATCTTTGCAATTCCTGACTGGTAATTTATAAACTAACTATTCCTTATTTTTGTTGGTTATGGGTACTTCTATGCAGGTTATTAATCAAGAAGCTGATATGCATCGTGATGACATATTAGACCAGCTTCCTCCTGGTTTTAGGTTTCATCCAACTGATGAAGAAATTATCACTTGCTACCTTAGAGAGAAAGTTATGAACAAGAGATTTACAGCTATTGCTGTTGCAGAAGTTGATTTGAATAAGTCCGAACCTTGGGATTTACCTGGTAATTATTACTTCAAAACAAATAAATTCAATTTTTTCATAATTCATAATTCAAATTGATGGACGTTGCAGCTAAGGCAAAAATGGGAGAAAAAGAATGGTATTTCTTTTGGCAAAGAGATAGGAAGTATCCAACAGGAATGAGAACAAATCGTGCAACAGAATCAGGTTATTGGAAAGCTACTGGGAAAGATAAGGAAATTTACAAGGTCAAAGGTTGTCTTGTTGGAATGAAAAAAACTCTTGTCTTCTACAAAGGAAGAGCTCCTAAAGGAGAGAAGACCAATTGGGTCATGCATGAATATAGACTCCATAGAAAACTTTCTTTTCACAAGCCAGCTATGGTACATTCATACTTCCTTAATTTGTGTTTTACTTTAATTTGCCATAAATGATTATTTACTTTAAACTTCAAAATTCAGTTCAACAAATTTTCACTGTGATAAAAGGAATTAACTTATATACACGAATAGTTTAAAGAACTTTTACATTATCAATATTATTTAACACAATAGCAAAGTTAGAAATTTGTCTAAGGGTGTTCAAATTTAAAAGAAGTGAAAAAAAAATTCCGACAAAGGGTGTTTAATATGTGTTATATTCCTCTAAAACGTACTCCCTTGTTTCAATTTATGTGAACATGTTTGACTGAGCACGGAGTTTAAGAAAAAATAAAGACTTTTGAAATTTGTGGTCCTAAACAAGTCAAAAAGGGGCCCAGAGTATTTGTGTGGTTATAAAAGTTTCTCATCAAGGGTAGAATTATAAGTTTAACCTAAATTGTTTCCAAATTTAGAAAGGGGTCATTCTTTTTGGAACGAACCAAAAAAGAAATAGTTTCACATAAACTGGAACGGAGGGAGTAATATTTTACCTATGTACACAGTGCAATTTTTCGACGAACTGACCACCCTTATCACCATTTGGCTTCACCACCAGTGATTGAACATGATATAGTTGATTGGACACTTTATGTTCAGATGACTAATTTTACTAATATATGATTGATTATCATAAATTTTTGATACTAATTATCATTTTGATGACTTATTCATTTAATTTGCACGGGAATTTAATCAAAGTGTCGATACTAATTTTGCTATAATTAAATGATGGCAGGACGAATGGGTTATTTGTAAAGTTTTCCACAAGAACATAGGAATACGAAGAGGTTCACTATTTATGCAAGATCTCTTAGATAGTCCCTCTTCACTGCCTTGTTTAATAGAAATCCCAAAAAGTAGTGATGTTCGAGATGAACTCAACATAAAAGCCGCTACTACTACATCGACATTCGATGAAATTCACTCTTCAGCCTACTTTTCCACTGGCATCTTCAACAATTACGCCTACGAGCAGCCGCTATTACGAGAGGATGAGAAGAGCTACGGATTATTTGTACCCACACATTATATCTTCACTGGCATTCATGATTATGAGCACAACAACCAGCTTGCCAGTTCCAGTAACTCATCGTTCAACCATGATCAATCACGTCCTTCGAATTCAAAAATTTCTGATTATTCCAAGAATGGTACTGCATTAGAAAGGCAGCAGCTCTCTTCGAACAATATGATTAGTCTTTCACAGGATACTAACGAGATTTCTTCAGTGATTCCAAAGCAAGGATTTGATAGCAATATAGCTGCAGATCTTGATTCCATATGGAATTATTAGCTTGATTTTAATCTGTTAGAGGAAATAATTAGGACATTATATTGTACAGCTTACTCATTTGTCTTTAACTCTTTAGGTAATTCTTTTCACTGAGATAGAATATATACTAATTTGAAGGGGTTGATGATTACTACTACCTTTTATGTAATGTTAACATTCTTTTCTTTTATTTGTTAATTTATTTTTAAGTTAACTCTTTGTGAAATATTATAGCTTTACTTGATGGTGTAATTAAGTTTTAGAAATAAAACATCTCTTATTTGAGTTGTCGCAAAAATTTATTGAAGGATTTACAAGAGTTTTAACCATCATTCGCATAAAACCTTTTGAGTAATTCTATATGTAATATATTGACATAAAGTTTACTTTGACAGAAGGAATTTTTCAAATACCAGTAGTAATATTTTAAGAAAGATGACCATTGGCATCCAAACGATATTTTATTAAGTAATTCAGTTATTATATATATATATATATATAGCACAATTAATTTAGTTTAGAGGTAATCAAATTAATCCCTTTAATTTATTTTTTGCTTTTGTGGTTGGGGGAGGAGAGGGAGTAGACGGAGGGAGAGACATCCCATTCAAAATGATAATATGCATGTTCTACTTATGAGGTGAGCAAAAGGCATAGGTTTTCCAGACAATTGATTCCTTGACCGCATTCATCGCAATTAATAATTGTTCTACTGCTCCCTTCTCGTCATTAGACAAATAACAAGGCATAGATTTCTTAAATGAAGCTTCAACTTCTGTCCAACGTAACTTCATCCTTAAATCTGGTATTGTGGATCATATATATCCTTAGCTGTTCGAATATTCCCTTTCTCTCCTTTAATGAATCTGTAGCTCACACGTTATCTCCTCCTTTTCTTGTCCATCTACTCTACTATGCCTACGTATATCCATCTTTACTAAAAAAAAAAAAAAAAAAAAAAAAAGAACAGATAACACCCTATTTAACTTCTGTTGTTGCATATTATGACACACCGGAGTTTGAGGTCGGATAATACTCGTATCCACTCGTATAGATGCGGTCATCTGTGATTAAACTTCTCCCACAATCATCAAATTAAATACTACTCCAATAGACTTCATTCTAGCTGTCACGATCCAAAATCCCAATCAATCGGGATTGTAATAGCACCTAACACCGCTTGCTAAGCTAGCCAACACACAACAGAAAATGTGAAAGGATTTCTATTAACGACTAACGACAAGTAATAATAGAATGTAAAAGCAACTCAATAAAAGTATACATGATAAGTCTACGATCAACACTAACTTTCAACCATCCCAAAACGTGGAATCACAAGTACATAAGCTACTAGAGTTTACTAAATACATTGTTTTAAAAGAAATACAATATTGTCGGAAAGTAGAAACAATACACTAGAAATAGAAAGATGACTCTGAGGCCTACGGACGGAATACAGCGTTACCTCGAATTACTTGACTGGTATCCACTAAGCACCTCTCAGAACTCCACTGGTACTAATTAATGTCCGGATATGCACAAGAAGTGCAGAAGTATAGTATGAGTATAACCGACCCAATGTACCCAATTAGTATCGAGCCTAACCCTGACGAGGTAGTAACGAGGCTAAGACAAGACACCTACAATAAACATGTTGTATATGGTTAAAACCGGACCTACCCGATTTTGCTATTTAATCGAAACCAGGGAATTGTTTCGAGGGTTAGCCTCGAAGTGGAGCGGATCAAAGTGACGAAGGCAGGGTACTGTGTTCGAGAATCAAAGTGCTTGCCGAGATCAAAGCCAGCAGTTATCGAGGTCAAACAGGGCAGACTCTGAGCGAAGCACAATAACGAGAAAGCGAGATATCCGTGATTGGTCGAAGATCACGGCGGGAATCTCGGAACGGATCAAATCAAAGGCAGTTAATTAGCTAATCATGTGATTTCCTTCTGTAATTAGAGTTATACTATAATTAGGATTCCTCTACTATATAATGAGGAGTCCCCATGATTTGTAGACACCTTACATGTGCGCAGATAAAAGAAATACAATATTCTCTCTTTAATTTATATTCTCTTGTTTATCAGCTTGTTGCATTTTAACTGTTCTTGCATAACTAGCTCGAGGGTATTCAAGCTCGAGGGCTCTAACCAAACACTTGTTTGCTTTATATTATTGTCACTTTCCAATCATTTATCTTTACATTTATCAATTGGTATTAGGTGAAATCATGTATCCTTAAAACCACATTATAAGTTTAATTGTTATCCAATTTTTAGGGTAAACAGTTTGACACCCACCATAGGACTAAGGATAATAGTGATTACCTAATATTAATCCTCATAACACACACTACTTTTATGCTTGTTCTCGTAAGTGTTTTTGATTTCAGGAATCAACATGTCAAACTATCAAGCAGTGCCCACTCACACAGACACCGGCCTTGGTCTTCATGGCAAGAATGAGAACATAGTCGCCCCGGAAAATGGAGTACCTCCAGTCAATCCCGAGGGACCGCCGGCCATAGATCTAGTCGATGTCAGTTCTCGTATTGCCATTCATGGAAATTTAGGCACCAACCCTGAAAATAGCATCCACAAAGACACCCGGGAAGCCAATTAGAACGTCTAGAGAAGTGAAGAAGGCGGGATTAGCTTTCGAATGATATTTGAAATGTTGCAGACTCAGCAAGCTACGATAGCGCAGCTCCAAAATCATAATTGAGCACCAAACAGAGTTGAGTTCGATACATCACAAGAAGTCATTCACAGGGTTGAACCTATACCGGAGAAATCGAATAATAATGGATCAGGAACTGACCCCGCCATCATGAAGATGGTCGAGGAGCTCACTAAACAGATCGAATCAGGAGAAAAGAAAACCGAGGCTAATGATAAAAAGGTAGCAACCTACAACTCATAGGTTGATCAAATACTGGGGGCACCTCCGATTCTAAAGGGTTTAGATTTGAAGAAGTTCGTTCAGAAGCCTTTCCCACCAAGTGCGGCTCCGAAGCCCATTCCAAAGAAGTTCCACATGCTAGAAATTCCCAAGTACAATGAAACCACTGATCCCAATGAGCATGTCACTTCTTATACATACGCAATAAAAGGAAATGACTTAGAAGATGATGAAATTGAATATGTTCTGTTGAAGAAGTTTGCAGGAATTTATCGAAGGGGGAAATGATATGGTACCATAATTTGCTGCCCAATTCCATCGATTCCTTCACCATGCTTGCTGATTCGTTCGTATGCAACTAGGAAGTCGGACATCTTCAAAGTGAGACAAAAGGACAATGAAATGCTAAGGGAATTCGTATCTCGGTTCTAGATAGAATGCATGGACCTACCCCCGGTCACCGATGATTGGGTTGTCCAAGCCTTCAATCAAGGATTGAATTAGCGAAGTTCGATAGCATCACGACAACTAAAGCAGAATTTGATAGAATATCTAGTTGTAACCTGTGCCGATGTACATAATTGATACCAGTCAAAGATCAGGGTCGAGGATGATCAGTTAGGAGCCTCTTCCGGTTCCGTTTACCCAAATAGATCCGAAGGCAGAATTCCAAGAGACATCAACAGAGAGCCCCGATCGAACAGATATCGGTACCAACCATACAACGCAAATCATAGAAACAACGGGCCGGGACGTAATCCTATTCAGAATGATCGAGGACAAAACTCCTGAGTGGTCATTAGTAAGATGTCTTCGATAAACTTGTCAAGCCCAAAGAAGAACCACGATTGTCAGAATACTACTTCAGCATCGATGCGTCGAGGTATTGTATTAGCCATTGGACGAATCAAGGATACTAGGTGGCCCAGACCCCTACAGACCGATCCGACTCAAAATAACCCTAATCAAATATGCAAATACCATGGAACCCATAGTCACAAAATCGAAGACTATAGACATTTAAGGGAGGAAGTAGCTCGTTTATTCAACGAAGGTCATCTTCGAGAGTTCTTGAGTGACCGAGCTAAAAATCATTTCAGAGACAGGGATGCAAACAGGAAAAATGAATAAGAGGAACCACAACACGTGATTCATATGATCGTTGGTAGGGTTGATATTACTAAAGGCCCAATATTTAAATGTACCAAAGTAACAATCACAAGGGAGAAGCGTACCCAGGACTATTTACTAGAGGAAACCTTGTCTTTCAACAACGAGGATGCAGAGCGGATCAAACAACCTCACAACGACGCACTGGTAATATCTATCCTTATGAATAAAATTCAAGTTAAACGTGTGTTGGTTGATTTAGGTAGCTCGGCAACCATCATTCGATCGAGGGTCGTAGAACAACTCAGCCTCCAGTATCAAATCGCGCCTGTAGCTCGAGTACTCAACGGTTTCAACATGGCAAGTGAAACCACCAAAAGCGAAATCATTTTGCCGGTAAATAGTTCTAAGTAATTGAAGGTGATATGAGATATAACGCGCTGCTCGAAAGACCTCGAATTCATAATATGAGGGTAGTATCTTCGATGCTTCATCAAGTTTGAAATTTTCAACATTAGAAGGGATCAAAACGGTGTATGGCGAATAACTCACCGCCAAAGAGATGTTTGCAATTAACGAAGTAGTACCAGTATTGGAGCTTTCGTCAACAAAGGAATTGGAGTGATCACGCCCAACTATGCCTTATAAAAAGAATAAAGCGATCGCTGCAAATATATTTCGGTTAACAAGTCCGGAGTCGAATACCACAGAGAACTAAGGTGTAGCTACAACTATTCACTATCACCAAGAAGACAAGCTTGAATAATTCTTAACTTATAGATATTTAGATTTTTGTGTTTAACTAATTAACTAACAAATTAAAATAGTAAATTAACAACTAAAGATATTAAGGGTTAGAGAAAAGATTAAGGAGGTCAAGAGTTATGATTTCCCCTATTGTCGGAATCCTTTTCGCTATGTTTGCTATAAATTTTCCTAAGTCTTCTCTATCGAACATGAGCACTCTGACTGTCATAACTCTCTCCCGAGTAATTACAACAATATACTAGACATATTCTCCCGAATTACGCTAGCTAGCTTTTAAGTATAGTTCACTTAGATTGTACCCAAGGTTTCGTTATCCCTAATCCCACCTTTAAACCCTTCGTATTGATCCCTCATATATGTTAGGAGTGATGATGTTCAACAACAACCTAAATATACACTCTCT